AGCAAAACATTCGTTGACAAATTTGGAGGAGCCTCCAACGTGCGTTTGCTTTCTTTAAACTCATATTTATTTTCTACAGATCTTATTTGATATGAATTGTAAAATTATACCCTTAGATCTTGGCTCATATAAACGATCTTTATATTATATTTGTTTTGTTTATGCTGCGTATATGGGACCGTTTACTAACATATGATGCATATGATTCTTAAGTTGTATGTACATGAGACTAGTCATGTTTTGTGTAAGAAGTCGGTGTGATCGTATGTTATTCATGTGCGATGACAAGTGATGGTCAAGATGAGATCCGTTGACTTGAAATAGTTTGGTCCTAAATTCTCAAACGAATGTCAATAAACATTGGAAAAAGAAAATCTCTGACCAGAGTACAAAATATTCATATGAAAATGGGTTTTATGATGACATGTTCTATTGTATTGATTGATAATTCGGATGAATATTAAGTTAAGGGTTTTGACACACCGTTAATAGAGATTAGACGACGAAGGGATTTTACTACATAAAATGTATGATTAGGAAAAAATGTTCATTGGAGTTTAACTTCATTGTAGCTTAGGGGTTACAGAACATCGCTAGATGCCTACAATAATCAGTGAGATTTTCAATCATAAATAATTATGATGAAACATATCGAATTTTGATATTAGGCCCATGACTAGGTTACAGTGAACCTAAGTGGTCACACCTAAAAATTAAGTATGAGAAAAGAAAATAATACATATTGTTAAAGGTTAACGATGTTCAGATATAAACGTGTGCATCCGAATTTATGTATTGGTGATAAATGATTACTCATGGGAAGCTAGCACTTACCAAGGGTAATAATATAATTTGGTAATTATTATATTAGATTCAATAATAGACTAAAATATATTATTAAATTGGATTCGATAATGTGTTAAATATTAAACGGGATTATTTTATGTGCCTTGATTATAAATTTGTTTAGATCAATGATTTAATATTAAAGAGTTAAAATTAAATTGAAATTATTTAAAGGACTTGAAAATAATATTGAATTTGTATTAAGTGCTAATATATGATGCATATTAATTCAAGAACTTAAGAAGATTTTCAAATTATAGTAAAATAGTCGTTATATATAAATAAGTGATATTCCCAAATTTAATCTAATTTTTCATTTTGATTGAAAATCTCTCTCTTGATCTTTCATGGCCGGCTCTCTTTTCTTAATCTTGGAGTGGACTTTACTTTGAGGATTTTTATCAAATTTGTTGAAAATCGTGAACTCCTTTTCAAGTTACAAAAGTTATAAAACATAAAAGGTAACAATTTCACCATTTTTAGTTTCAATAACATGTCATATGACCTTATACCATGTTTTACACCAATTTTACCCTTTCTAAGCATGAAATCTTACAAACTGAGCATCAGAAGCCCAAACTTGTTGCTTAGAGGTCCTAAACAGACAAGCCAACTTAAATAGCTATAACTGTTTATCCAGCAGGAGTTTGGAGCCCGTAAGATATTCACGGAAAGCTCGTTCTGAGCGCTACATCATGGCAATAGGTAAACTCGGTTGAGACCATTTTCAGGGCCAAAATCCAATATTTCGATGCCATTTTGAGTTTTCTACATGTTTTTTCTAATGCTAACAGGTGGTCGCGATCTAAGAACCGAGAACTAATCGCGATATGAGCGTTGAGAACACGATCTGAGAGTTGAGAACACGATCTGAGGCTGCTCGCAATCTCAGAGCTAAGAGTTGATTGCGATTTGAGCAATCTGAAATCTTAAAGAGCTTAATATGTGCACGCAATCTAAGCGATTTGAAGCGCAATCTGAAAGATCTGATGCGTGCGATCTTAGCGAATGAGCGAGCTTATGAGCTCGATCAGAAAGCATAAGGAGCTCAATATGAAGCGCAAGGAGCTTTGATCTAAGAACTCGATAGTTATTTCCACCATGAGAGCTTAAAAGCTCTTTGTGATCTGAGAGCACAAAGAGTTCAATTAGAAAGCGTATAGCACAAAGAGTTTGATTAGAAAGCATGAAGCTTCATCTGAGAATACAATGAATTCGATCAGAAAGCCCAAAGCTTGATTTGAGAACATGAGGAGTTCAATCCAAAAGCGCGAAACTTGATCTGAGAACTCAAGGAGTTCGATTAGAAAGCGCGAAACTTGATTTGAGAACTCAAGAAGTTCGATTAGAAAGCGCAAAGCTTGATCTGAGAACTCAAGGAGTTCGATCAGAAAGTGCGAAGCTTGATTTGAGAACTCGAGATCAACGATCTAGGTTGCTCGGAAGCATGATTTAGGTGCTTGGAAGCATAGTCTGGCCGCTCGGAAGTACGGTCTAAACGATTTGAACTTATGATCTCAACGATCTTAAACGTATGATCTAGATGCTTGGAAGCACGATCTGGTTGCTTGGGGGCGCGATCTGATATGAGAGATTTTAGCTATCTGGCCACGTGATCTGAGAGCTCTGATGCGCGCGATTTGATCTACCCACTCAATCTGAGAGCTCTGATGTGCGCGACCTGACCACGTGATCTGAGAGATATGATGTGGAACATGCTTTAGTATTTTTACGATAACTTGAGCTGTAAACCTCATATTTTGATGATTAATGGACCATCGAAAAGCTGACTCAAAGGGCTACAACTCTTGCGTTTTTGCTTTGCCAAATTTAGACTTTATCATGCTTAGATTTTCACATTTGATAATGTGAAGATTTTGAGGCTTGTTGGAAAAACATGGAGAGCTGATGCGAATCATGTCCTTTAGCGTTAAGCTGTTGATGCGTGATTTTGACACCAATGACTCGCACTTGCAAATTGCTAAGCTAGTCTTAGAAATTACACATGAATGATTATGAGAGTTGATTATGGTGTAGAGATTATATATATTTGCATAAACATAAATAATAGATTGACAAAAGAGATTTTTATAGTGGTTCAAATGCTTAAAGCGAATTCTACATCCACTGTTATTTTATTATTCTCTGACTATTTTTCTAATATTGTCTGTAAGGGATACAAAAATGGAAAAATGCTTTGTTTACAGAGAAATAATTGGGTGTGTTTGGTTTATTATTTTGGATAGGATTTTGGGAATAATATTGGGTAGTTGAATATGGGAGTATTACGAGGTAAACTTTAAAAATTTCTAAAAAACCACATAGGTTTGCTAATTTAACTAAACACCCCAATATATAAAATTTTTGTAAAATGAAAAAAACACCCCTACCATTGCCAGAATTTGGCTGAAAAATTGCGTTACGGCACAGACCGATCGGATCTGTGTCGTAACGCGTCGATATGGCCTTTTCTGTCCAGATCCACTACGGATCTGGCCGAAAAAGGCCAGATTGAAGGCCAAATGTGGCCGTCGACATCCGCAAACTGTCGTTGTCGGTCAACGACGACCATTTCTTTGGCCGTCGCTGATGGCCAGATCGGTGAATTACTGGCCTTTTCCGGTCATGGTGTAGGCCGTTGTAACAGATTCCAGCTACCACCGATGGTGGTTGCCAGAATCTAGCAAGTATGGGTTTAGGGGGTGTTTTTGTTATTTTTTAAACTTTTTTTCTGGGGGTATTTAATGAAATTAATAAATTTAAGGGGTCTAAAAATAATTAAAAAAATACAATAATATTTCTCAAATAATGTGCCAAACAATATTTGGAAAATAGGATTGAGAATATGGATAATAATATGAAACCACACGCATCCAATGAAGCTCACGCTTGTGCCCAGCTCTCATATGCCTAGATTCCTCTTTCGTGAGGAAAGGTGCCAATTTATACTTTTGAAGTCAATATAAGAGTGTTTTTGCAAGTTGTCTTTACATGTGGAGACCATTATTTAATCCTTATCTTAAAATGAGATAGGATTGATATAAAATATCTCTTTGAGGCAGTTTGAGTTTTGAGGATTAATACCACTTTATCTTTAAGTGCTTGTTAAGCTCTAATTGATGGTACTGACAACAATGATGTATATTTTTGGCATAACAAATACAATATTTCATATTTTTATTTTTTGATCTTTAAGTATAACAAATGGCAATATTCAGGGATTTACGATCTTTTAATCAGATTATTTAATTGGAGTCCACGTAATCTATTTAATCAATTTCTAAAAAGCGTAAAACCTCAAAGAATTTGATTTAAATTATTCCCTGTCATGTCATTTATTCATTCACTTTTGGAGAAGACGAGTTATTAATTACAGTTTACCTTTTAATTAAAGTCATAGGATGGAGTTGATAGTTGACTGGGAAACATTGGCTGTCTCTTTAAAAAGTACGCAGGCTCTAGAATTGTAGCCCAACAGAATTCAGATGAAGGCCCCAAGTTTTACACTGACAAGCCCAGTTCATGAACCGAAGCCTTGCTTGCCCGCCGCTCAGTCCCGTTTAAAGGATTCAAGTTCAACCATAACGTTCATATCATTTAAAAATAAATAAATAAACATTATTTACGTTATATTCTATTCACAACCCAGAGCCAGAAGGCAAGATGCCGGACCAATCTTCTTGTCTTTGTTTCTTTTATCTTTTCTCCGGTGGCGATTCAAAATCACACCAAACGGTGACTTGATGCCGCCGTTTAGGGTGTATTGGCCTATTGGGTTCTCGTCTAATTGAAAATTTGATACGTTTCAACTAAATTTTAAGCCGCTTTTTGTAGCAATGTAGATCTTTCTGCCTCAAATCGCCAAAGTGCGTGGAAATTTATGCACGAAGATTTAATAATACTAAGAATCGACTAATACGAAGAATCGACAAAAGCCGACAAACTTTTATTTTTTTGTTTTCTCTTTAAAGTAAAAAAAATAAAGAATATTTAAAGGTCACGTGACGTTCACGTGGTATTGAACACGTGGCTTCTCCCGGAACAAAGTAAATTTTTAGTGTTTTCCCTCCCCTCCCGCGTTCCGCCCATTTTAGTTTGAAGAGTCGCGCCATTTTCAAGACGAGCAGACAGCAGAGTAATAAGCAAAGAGGCAAACACGGAGAAACGAGGCACAAACAAATGAAACAATGGCTATTGATAACAAATTTGGCAAGCCAATATGTTCAATCTGCTATGAAGATCTCAAGCCAATCGTCGAAGACCTGCAAGTTATATCGATTTGTGGCCACGTCTTCCATGAGCTCTGGTCTGTGGGCGTATATCTGCATACAATATGTATTTATTAAGTATGTGTGCTTTTTGAATAATTTTTGTTTCTTTTTATTTCAAACTCTAGCTTGCAGCAGTGGTTCGAGTACTGTTCAAGCACGAAGAAGTGCACATGTCCTGTGTGCAAGCAAAGTTGTAAATCGAATGATGTCAGTCGAATTTACTTTCAGTCGATTGGTGATCAGACCGAAACGTTGGTTTCACAGAAGCCGAAAGATTGTGAAGCAGAAGACCCAGAGGTTTTGCGCTGTGAAGTGAAGAGATTGGAAGTCAAGGTTTCGAGGCTTAATTCGGCTTTGGAGAGTCAAGGGCAGGAGCTTAAACAAATCAACGAGGAGGTATATGGTTATTTATTGTTATGATTTTTCTATTAGATTTTAAATTTTTGGTTATTTTTCATTGGAATTGCAAGGGGGACAAATAAATGTCAGGATATTTTAGATAGTCCTTTAATTAGGCAATTCTTGTTTCAGTTGTGTCTTAGCAGGGAGCATACAAAGAAGGAAGTAGCATTGAAGAATGAATTTTTGCGAGAAAAAACATATATTCAACAGCAGCTTCATCTGAAATCCCAGGTGAATTAATTCACTGTGGTTTTGAATACTTTTGTATTACGTAAGAAGTATATGTCCATGATTTAAGTAGAAATTTCAAATGATTCTTAGGTTGATTGTGTTATATAGGACCTTGATAAATTGACATCCGAGTGCTTGAGGCTTCAAGAGAGGAATATGGCCTTGGCCAAAGAGCTTGCAGCCCTCAAATTGTGAGTGTATTTGGTCAAATGATTATTTGATTAATTCGATGCTTGTAATGAATCCTTGTTTGCTGCTGACCTGGTTGTGTGGTTTTCAATTTAGGGTATCAGATTTGAACCTGGATGAAAATGAAGTTTTAAAGTTTGCCTCTTTGGGTAATGGAGCTAACAACAAAGATACAATCGATGTTCTAAGAAAGTCTTTGGTCATTCGTAACAGGTGAGTTAATTTTTATATTTATCCCTCTGTTAATTTACTAGTACTCATCAACATGGAAAGTTATTGGAGCTTTCACTCTGTCTTTTGACACCAATCAAACTTAACTGCCCAGCACAGTTCATAGAAGTGGTTGAAGCTTGGATTTACCGGTATAGATTAAAAGCATCATTCAACTATGTTTTCATGCTTTATCTATGGCAATTGCAAATTAATAAGGAAATAGCACTGCATCATATTTTCTTGTTTATTCCGTATCTGTCATATATATATACATATGAACTGACAGTACACATACTTTTTGGCTGCAAAATGTTGAGCAGGAATTATATAGAATTGATGGCCAAGTGTAATCTTCTTGGAAGAGAAAAGACTCGTTCATGTGCCAAACTTGAGAAAGCTAAAGAAAAGATACTTAAACTAAAGGTAAGTCTCGGATCAACCATTATAAAATTGTTTATGGTGGGTTCTTAATTTGACCCTGGCAAACCATTTTTTATTTGGACATCATCAGACTAGGGTACAAGAACTGGAAACAGCAGGAGAATTAAAAGATAATGAAGTTTTGAGGTCTTTGAAAGCCTTAAAGAAAACCAGTCATGAAAATGATATTCTGAATGGCAATGTTGATTGCTCTAAATTTTCGCATACAACTAATCATATATCAGAAGATTTTGTGGAACAATGTTCTGTACCAATGAGTGAATTGGATGGGACTAGAAGTGTGAAAGGTGATTTATCTTGCTCCACAAAATTAGAAAACTTCAATTCCTTTGAAAGCCTGAATGCAAATCACGCTGAAGAAGTTGTAGGTATAATGGCTCATAAAAAAGCAAAAAATGCTTCATTAATTGAGGAAACATCAAGATCTTCTACAGTTGTGCTTGAACTTTCAAGTCCTCATTTAAAACATCAAGCCAATGTAGATGTCATCCATAACCCTACTCTGTCAAGATTAAATGCAAGTCATGTTAACAACAAAGAAGTTGCTGGGCATGGCCCTCATAATCTGCTCGGGAATCTGGGTTCAAGATCTGGTATCAATAATGATAATGGCACTGCTCCTGCTGCTGCTACGGAGGAAGTAACTTTGATTGTTGATGATGATGATGACTTTGAACAAGTTCAACCTGTCCTCAACATCAGAAAAGAGTCTCCAATGCCAGTTCCTCTTTCCAAACCAGGTAATTTTAAGGTTGGTGCAATTTTGAGTTTATGCAAGGGTTTTCAGATGGTGGATTGAGCTAGAATTTTGTGATTTAATTACATCAACCAAATGCTTCTTTTGTTGTCAAGATATTTTGAATTTAACTTGTAAAGAAATCCAGGTGATGTATGTTTTTCTAGTGGGTTGCTTGGTCCTGATGGAACAAACCGGTATTTGGGTAAATGGTGCAAGCGTGGCCAAAACAAAGTGCCCATGCAAGGTTCAATAAAAAACAGTGGTGATTTGATTGCTGTTGGAGCTGACGGGAGAGGTGGCAGAATTAAAGTTCTGAGATCTGCAAATCAATCTTCACAGGTGCCTATACACACTCACTTTCCCATCCAAATTATTTTTGTCTGGAACATTTGACTTGAACTGTAAGCTATATCCTCTATCAGTTTATTAACAGTATTTACTCCTAACAGATAGTTTGGTCTGAAGTTTTGGCTAACTTAGTGAATTTCTACAAACTGATAGTTACATGTTATCTTGAGTATACTTGCTGTTAGACTTTCGTTTTGTAGGGAATTAACGAATTTTGAATGTTTTGCCCATAGACATTTTTTGCCTGTACTTTTCTCTTAAAACTTTGTTTTTTGGTCCTTTTTTTTCCTGGTATTAGCTAATTTGAGACGTGGGTTTGCATCTTCCTCTTTTATGCAGCATGGTAAAGAGAATTTGTTATCTGCAAAGAGGTTAAAATTTGGAGCAAAGACAAGTAATGTGCAGTCCCCAGGTTGCTTGCAAATAGAACACTTCTTTGAAAGGGTCAGCCAGTAATTAACTGCACACATCACTATGTTGACAACTTCTTAATTAGGACTATATTTGTGGCCACAAAGAAAAGCCTGAAGTTCTTTTGTAACCATCAATATGCCGAAAGAAAAATATAGAGCAAGAGGCAATTTATGTTGATGTCTCTTTAAGTCAATCCACCTTTCTGATAACAGTTTGGGGTTTAAACTTTAGACTGAAACTATTCCATGTTATTGAGTTATTTGCCTTTTGGATGGGAATAAGCGGCTATGTTCTTCATTCCTCAAATTAGGAGCATTGAAGTTCAATTTGTGCAGTCATAACTTGCATGGATTTGGAGAAACATCAGTGGATGGGATTGGGTTAGTAACAAGCTATGCTTTGCCTATGTACATGATGTGTATTTTTAATTTATATAAACCTTAAAGGATTAAGTTAATGAAATAGAAACATTTTGTTTAAATTTAAAATACCAATTTTTGGTTATTGATGCAATACAATTCAATGGTTTGGAGTTGTTGAGTTCACATAAAATTACTGTCTCTAACTTTTCCCGCGATTCAATTGGATTTTGTTGAATTAGGGAGGAAATTGTTGCCAATTTAAAAAAATAATAATAATAATTATATTAGATTGGTTAAATTTTATTGATTCTACAGTTTTTATTTTTACCATATCAGTCCAACTTCAAGAAAGCCAACTAAATTCTAAAGAATTGTTTTAAAAAGCAATATAATAATCTTTGCATAGTTAAAAGCCACTTATTGTTAATGCAAATTTCAAAATTCCATTTTATATATTTATCTATTGTATTTCAAAACTTAAAAAAAAAAAAAAAATCATTTGTATATTGTCCCTTAAAGTATGATTACCTTCAATTAATGAAATGTTTTTGTACCATCAATATTCATCCAAAAAATTTATATAAATTTAACACTAATTCGAAAAAAAATTCAGCCTCCCCAAAATAATTTCCTGGTTCCGCCTCTAGTTGAATAGATAAATAATCAAGAATTTGTGTCAATAATTTAAATTACAATAGCTTAACCCTACAATTAAAGTACGTATAAGACATTGATTAGGTAACAATTACCAAGTCTTTGATAGTAATCCGTATTGATTTTGATTTTAGCTGCAGTGAACATGTTAAAAATGTGCTTTCAATTATGACAAAGCATGGTCAAAACTCAAAATAATTATATGAAAATTTGAATTTCACCATTTTTTATATTTTTAGTTGTCTTACAAATTTGGCAAAAAGGAAAATGTAGTCATAAATCTGTCCGAAGTTTGGCATGGAGGGAGAGGAACTTTCGGACAACTTTCTGATCGAAAAAGTGAATATATGGATACTCAATTTCAACAATAAACCACCCACGTGCAACAATGTGTGAGGGATGATAGTTACTAATCACATAAAGTAAGGGGTAGTTGTTTCTTGTTTTTTAAAGGGAAATTCGAAAGTTTCTAAAGGATTAGTTGTTGATTTTTATTTGGTTTTGGCCTACAGAAATTTGAGTTTTCTTGGTGCCTGGATTTGTTATAGTATTGAAGTAGAAGTGTTGAATTAACAATAGTCAACAGCATGTCTGCGACTTGAAACACGTGAAGTTAGAAGTGGACCGAAAGGGAAACTTGCTTAAGATGAAACGAGAACAAGACCAGAAGGGAAGCTTGTAAGTTTTGCTTTAGAATATGGGTAATTTTATTACTAAAAGAGGTTGAACATTTCTAAGATAGTTGGTAATGGTTAAACTATGATTGGAAGATTACTATAACATTTATATACCTACCAAGAAGACTATAACTCAGAAATGTTTAAGACATTGAATTCGCCTTCCTCTGCCATCTAAATTCTACTGAGTAGTTTTAACTTTTTAAGTAATGGTCAAGAGCAAGAAAACCATGAATAAGTTATAAATTCTAACAGTAAAAGGGGCCTTTATGGCTTTATAACCATGAGTTGTGGTCTAGTTGATAACTGAACACTCGATGAACAAACTTTACCTGTAATGTCATGGGTTTGATTTTCATTGGAAGTAGTTTGTGGTTAAAGACATTTACTTAGGCCTTGATCGAGAATTAGTCTCATACCTTCGTACGTGAGAAAATATCACAAGCCTTTCACGGGAAAAAAAAAAAAAAAAAGAGGAATTTAAAGTTAAAAGAATCTAAAAACTTATTACAATTCAAATTGAAAATTAGTTCCTGCCATGCAGATGCAGCCATCTAAGTCTTGTTTTGATACATCCAAATAGACAAAGTAGAAAAGTGAAGATGAACAACTGTCAGATAATGGGTGGCCAGAATATAGGATAAATACACGTGTCTGCTAACCTTTCAAGTTTCAAAAACATGGTTCAATATTTTTTTAAATGTAAATTTTCTTTTGGCATAATAGCTCGTAATTAATCAGTTTATAACGAATCTCATATAAGCCTTATTAATTAATTATAAATTAACGAATTATAAACTATTATGTCAGGGTTATGAGAAAAAAATTATAAGAAAGAATTATCGATGTATTGTATTAATAAAGAGTATGTTAGATTCTTGTTTTTATGGATAGACTCTTTATAATAAAGAGTTTAGGTCATATAAAGAGTTCTTTTGAGATGCTCTTAATATTTTTAAAATATAAATTAGAGAGTGAGTTTGACTCTCTATATTCAGAGAGTCAAATTTTACTCTCTATCATAATTTTAATTAATAAACTATAAGTTCATATACATTTTATTTATTAATTCTCTCTCCCATTAAATCTATTTCTTAAAAATAAAGAGTATCTTCGTTGAATTTAAAAAGTTTATTGGATTTGAATAAAAATTTTTCCTTATATTAAAAATTAATAAATATGCTCTTTATTTATATGAAAGATATTCTTTAAAATAAAGAGTATTATTAAAAATACTCTAACAATCATTTTTTATAATCTCTTTTTATAATTATAATATAGTAGCTTGTAATTAATTAATTTATAATAAATCTTATGAAATCTTACTAATTAATTATAAATTGATCCATTATAAACTATTACGTTATAGTTGGGAGAGAAAAAAGATATGTAAAAAAGAATTAATGGTGTAACGTTACTCTTTTCAAAAATTCATCAATATTGGAAGACAGCCTGACAAGCGGGTCCAATACTCCAAATGAACACACCTTAGAAAGAGAAAATTCACTTTGGTTGACCGTGATAGTGACAGATAGTCCAAATTCAAATAGCCACCCACATGTCTCTATCACCATTGGAATACACCAGTTTATGAATGATGGATGTACAATAAACTGGAAATTTCTGGACCATTGACAGCCCTTGTTCACTTGACAATATGTTAACTTGAATTTTGATTTCGTTTGAGGACTTCTTTTAAGTCTTTTTGTAGACTTTCATTCTTAGACTTTGTTATCTAGAATTTTCAACATTGTTTTTTTTTTTTTTAATAAATATTTTATGAACTAATTGAATTGAATCCTATTAAAAAACCTCACATGAACCTCATTGGACACGATTAAAGGTTTGATAAAAAAACTCAAGTTTGACCGGCCAATTTTCTTCTGCTATATTTATTATATTTATGACTAATAAATACCACAGCAAGTTAAATTGAATCAAAGTCAAAGCTGTGTGGCATGCGATTTGGTTTATAGCTACAGTTTTAACGTGAGAGTAATTTAGTTTCACTCCGGATTCCATGACCTGACCTCACATTATCATATTATTTTATAAGAGTAAACAAATTTTTCTCACTCAAGGTTTGCCTTCACGACACTTTTCTAATCAAAATTTATATTTTATTAATACTCAAAATACATTTCACTTTCTCAGTCGACGTTCAACGAGTTACTAAGAGCAAGAGTTAGAGGGGTTTTGTAAAGTGAGAGTCGGTAGATCAAATTGGTATGATTGATTGAATATTTACACTAAAAATCAACTAAGAACAGAAAACCCTAATTTTGCAGTGGCAGATAATCAGCGAGGAATCAAGTGTCGGAGTGAGAGGGTTTTGTAGAGAGGAGACCGGAGTTTCAAATGGTGGTAATGAAGAGAATTTTTGACATCGGAATCAGTTTTGACTAATAATGAAATATTAATTTTGGGTGAAAAAAGAATATTTTAAAACTTTTTGAATGAGAATGTGTCATTACGTCAAACCTTGGGTGGGAAAAGGCCGTTTACTTTAATTTATAAATACACTATTACATAATTAGATGCAAAGTCAATTTTAAATCCTTGGCCTGACTTACAGTGTATGGAAAGGAAAGGAAAGGTTAGGTTAGGTTAAGATACTTGGTCGGAAAGAAAATCCCACAGTCAATTTAGTGGACCAGTAGCAGTATACAATGTTGTTTGTATAACTGTATAAGTGCAGTGTAGACAATACTACTGACCACCTGAAGACTTGGGTATTCCGTCTAGCTAGCTCCTGTAATCGACAAAGCTATTAACCCAAACAATTGATTAATTACTTGCTATACACGGCATGCATGAAAAATGAAGACAAATTTTGAGGCTGGAGTCCCGTATTTTGCCTATACTAACTTATTTAATACGAAAAGAGTAGAGGTATACCGTATACGTTTCAGATAAATAGAAGATCTGGAATTTAGTACGTAATTCTCTAATATTCTTAATCCGTGTACCAGCCCATTGATCTAGATTATCTTTAATGGTGTAGCTATTGGATTGCTTACCTAATTCTGTATCTGGTAAGAAAAGAACTGCAATTAATTTATTATTTGCGCATGCATTTGGAGCCTAAGTTTTCTTAACTTCATAATTTCATACTGTTTATTTATGTTAAACTATCCTTTCTCCGTATATTCTGTAAATAATTTCATACATCCAATTCCAAGCCTGCAACTGTCTTTTTCTTTTTTATTTGAAAATGATTTCGATTGATACAAAACACCCTTAAAATAATAAACTCAAGTTCCCATGCGAAATGATTGAAGCATTTGAACATAGAGCCTGTAAAAGGTGGAGGCTTACCAAATCTCAATTAGTATGCCGAGTGACCCTTGAGATGCAAGAAAAGGAGAAGAGCTTTCCTCTTTGAATAATGAGGTCAAATATCTACTTTTTCTTATTTAAATCGATTTTCCTTTCGCTGTTTCAAGATAGATATATATGCATAGAGTAAGATATAGAAATATGAGTTTTTGAGAATACTTTTCACCAACCACAATCTTAACTTTGATATGCATGGTAGGAGATACATCCATATGCATTTGACATTAATTACACAAGAATAAAATCACATCACACAAAAAAACACGATATTTACGTGGTTCGGTATAACACGCCTACATCCACAGATAGGAGAAATTCACTATGGTTTTATAAACATGATATACAAAAGTACAA